ATGTATTCTTATAGCAATTGAAAGGAATGTGATTATGTAGGGCAACTAACTGCATCTCCTGGATATATTTATAGAATATTAACCATCACAAAAAGGGTTTTGAATATCAAAATGAATTGAAAAAAGAGTCACTTACTGTAGTGCAAGCCATATTTGGCAATTACGGGATCCCTGCTCCATGACGAAAGCACCTCTAATGTACTGGTATTGTCACCGGTATCATGAGGCGATTTAACATTGGGTTTTCAGCTGTTCTGCTGTCACTCTCATCTTCAGGTTGGGGTTCCCTCACCCTTGCACAGTGATGGGGTAACCTCAACAACCTCCACTCCCTTGTATGCCATTTCTCATGGTCTTACTGGACCTTTACCCCATCATTGTGTGGGTTTGGAAGATGCCTGTGGTGCGTGGCAGTCTGCAGCTCGATGACCTTCCTTGCTGCGATGAAAGCAGTGGTGACTCTGCAACGGGGGCTTCTGTTGTGAAGGACCATCGCTGCTCTCGGATGGTGCACCAATGGGATTTGATCAGGTCAATCTCCACTTCACCAGCTAGGGTGTACTATCCCTGGAGGATGTGTGGCACACCTCTGGACATGCAGTTAGAGATACGGAAGGCCTTGTTGTTCAGGTCATCTTGAAAGCACTCAGTCATCAAATCTTGGGGCCAGTCTGTTAGCCTACAGGCTAGGCTCCAGAACTCTTGTATGAAGGTGACCATGGGTTGCTTGTCCTGCTTAATAATTTTGATTTTGGTTCTAGCTTTTTGATCAGGGGTCTAAAGGCCCTGAGGGGGTCTTCAAATCACTTCGAATCACAGGTTGTGAACCTGTCAAAGTTGTGTAGCTCTGCCACATCATCGTGAAGGGCCACCATCTGGTGTCCTGTCCTTCTAGAGTAATGGTAATATGTCGCATCCTGCCTAGGTCATTTAGCAACTCGGTTCCATACTCCTGCATGCAATTCCCCACTTGGCTGAGGAAAAACTCCAGTTGATTTAGGTAGCTGTTGAATTTCACCTCCAGCATTGGTGATCATGGAGGGCAGACCATGCAGGAGGTGGTGTCGAGGTGAGGGCTGGTGCATTCGCCACATTGGGTGGTGGTGCTGGCAATGGTGCTGGCCACTCTTGGCTACCTTGGGCTTTGAGGTTGTCAAAGGCATCCCTTAGGAAGTCAATCACCTGCCTTGAATATGATCTTGTGTGGGTCAGGTTTACCTTCCATTGCCCCACAATCCTCCTCAGTGGTCAGTGTTTTGTGATGGCTGCTGTGGCTTTTCTGGGCAAAGATTACCCTGGAGGATCTCTCTTCTCACTCCTATATCTTTCCAATCCCTATGAACCACCAGGTCTTTGTTGCTCCTCCAGGGTCTCTTTTTCTTCCTCTAGTTCCATTGCTCCTTGGTTTGAAAATGGCTTCTTCCCAGGGTTCCATTTCCTCCTGCTCACTCTTAAGGATGGATGTTCCATGCATGCTCCCCAAGGTAGAAGCGAGTCTCTGGGTGGATCATTATTGCAGACTGGCTTAATGTCAGACCACTTCTCCCAGCTTTGGCATTTAGGAAAGAAACATCCTCAAGTACATTTGTAGTGAAAGATATACTTTTACTAAAGCATATGGTGATAGCATAAACAAAGACAGATCTGGTTGGCACTTCTGGTTCCTGTCATGCCCCCCCCTATTCCCCCTCCCCCTTCTTTATGGCAGGATGGCATCAAAGCGAAGTAGGGATGAAGTGGCATGATAGCAGATCTGACACACTTACTCTACAGTCTCAATTGTACATTCTGGTTGTTTGAGCCCATCACACAGCATTTCCAATGGTTTGTCATCTGGGTTCTTGAGGGACAGGTCTAACTCTCACTATCTCAAAGAGAATGTGATTATATATGGAAACTGAACTGCCTACTGCCTTTCCCTAGCTATATTTCTAAAATATTAACAGTCAAAAGACACGTGTGCAGAACAAACTGAAAGTAAATAGTCGCTTATTCTAGTGCAGTGGTTCTCAAAGTTAGCGGTACCACCCCCTGAGGGGGCGGTGGGATGACTTAGGAGGCCGCTAAGAGGCAAGGGGGTGGCAAAGGAGTGCTGGAGGTGGGCCCCTCACAGGGCGCAATTCAGCTTCTCCCCCACCCACTTGCCTGGCTTGCTGATGCCAAGAGAAAGGTGAGCCAGAGCTGACCCATTGTTGTGGTTAGCTGGAAGCAGGTGCGGACAGCTAAGGAGAGCGAGGACTCAGATGAGGGGCCAGGACAATTGGGGAGTGGACTGCTGCCTTCAGAGATTGTGTGGGCTGACATGAGTGATGTGGAGGTTCCCGAGGAGCCTATGCCAAGTGCGCATGCACACAAGATTGCTCGCAGGAAAGAGCAACTACAATAGCACGGGCGACTCGGGAGTAAGGCTGCAAGGTAGTGGCCCCTCCTTCTAGAAGATAAAAGCCAGCTGTGAAACAAAACTTTTTTGCAGAAGGCAAAGACGTTTTGAAACTCCAGCCTCGTGGACATTCCAGTATCCTGAGTTTGTATTTTAACATTTTTGTATTGCAAATTATTTCTTCTCTGTTATCTATTGGCAAGCCACGCACAGTTTGGCAAGGCTAGTGCTTATCACAGCTAATTATTTTGTAAAAGCATTACAAGATTTCTGTTCCCTTTGGATTGTGTTTGATTTGTCAGAAAAGGGCGTGGGTGGCAGAGGGCGATGCAGGCGGCGTAAGCCTCATGCTTCCAGGTTGCCTCCTGCACTCCCCCTCAGAAGCCGTGATCCAAGAGCCTCAGCAGCTGATGAGATGCAGGCTGGCGAGGAGCCAAATAGCAATGGGTCTGCCCTGACTGGATCACCTTTCCCTCTGCCACCAGCCACGGGAGGAAGGTAAGTTTGTAGGCAGTCGGGAAAGCCCAAACCACTGCGGTTTGGGCTTTCCTGACTGCCTACAAACTTTATCTTCCTCCGCAGCTGGTGGCAGAGGGAAAGGTAAGTCAGTCAGGGTGGGCTGATTCACCTTTCTTGCGGCTCACTTCTCCTGCAGCTCCTGCGGTGGCCGAGACTGCAGCCTAGCTTGAAGTTCCCAGCCCTTTCCCCAAAAGAAGGAGGGGTGGAAGTCCCGCCCGCGGTCTCTTTGTTGGACCCAGAAGCCCTGCCTGCCAGCTTTTCTGGGCAACGTGGGACCGGGCATGAACAGACAATCACGCCCAGTCCCTGGGAGACACATGTTCTGCTCCTAATAGACCACAGCATAACTCATATATCGAACATAGAGGACAAACATTACAGGCTAGGGCTAGGACTATGATTTTGGATTCTGGTTTATCAGATAAACTTTGGGGTGCAGCAATAATGTGTGCTAAGCATGTTTTGAATGACGAAGTGAATTCTACAACTGGTGAATTACCATTTACTGATTGGAATGGAAAAAAGCCAGATCTCAGTTATTTACATACATTTGGAACCCCAGCATGGGTTCATATTTCCACGCAAGTAAGGCGAAAGGGACAACATAGAGCGAGACAATTATATTTTGTAGGTTATGAAGCTAATCATAGATCATTTAGATTTTGGGAGCCAGGTACTACTAATTTATATTGTAGTGCAAGTGCTAAATTTCTGGACCATGTTGGTTGGAGAAAGCTTGAACAGGAATATAATAAGGTAAAGGATAGTGTTGTTGTTGAGACTCCATTGTTTACCAATAATCCTGATGATAATAATATTGATGATAAGATAGTGGAGGAATCCTCAATGGAGGAATCATCAATAGATAAACCCTCTATGACTGTAGAAGATGAAGATTTGATAGAGGAGGTAAAGGAAGAGGACATGCCAACAACATGTACTGAGTTGCCTAGGAGGTCAACTAGGGAGAGACGTCCACCTGACAGATTTCAAGCAAGCATTCATTGTATGTCAGGTAAATACAGAACCTTCTAACTTCAATGAAATAAAACTGTATCCTACAAAGGATCAGGTAGCTTGGCAGGAAGCTATGAATAGGGAGTTAAAATCGTTAAAGGATTTAGAGGTGCATGAGGATGTCAAGAAACCACTAGGTGAGCATGCAATAGGCTGCAAATGGGTGTATAAGATAAAGACTGGTGTGGACGGGACTATTTCCCATAAAGCAACATTAGTTGCTCAAGAATTTGCTCAGTCAGATAAGGACTATGATGAAGTGTTTACACCTAGTCTGAGAGCAAATACATTGAGAGCAGCATTAGTTTGGGCAGCTAAGAATAAATGTAAAATAAACCATGCAGATGTTGAAACTGCATATACAACATACCATCTATATAAAAAAAGCCATTAGGTTTAAAGGATGATGGAAAAACTGATTATTGGAAATTAAAGAAAAGTGTTTATGGTCTAAAGCAATCCGGTTATGAATGGAATAAATGTATTGTAAAGGAATTAGTTTCAATAGGTTTTGAAGCTG